AGACGGATTTTTCTGTGCGTTGTCTCAATGAGTTTTTCTGCAGTCTATCTAAATGTATTTTTCTGACCATTCTGACCATTATTTTGTCTAACAGGAAAGGAGAGTGGTCAAAGAGAATAGATTGTTCCAAAGGCTATCTGAACTCATTTTCTCTAAATGTGGAAAAACCGCAGGGTGTGCTTGATGATACTGCAGCCAACAACATTCAGTTCAAATGTCAAAGCGAGGAACTGCTGAAGGGTGCGTCAAAAGAGTGGGGTACATTTGGACCCTGGAGCAAGTCTTGCAAACCTGGTGCAATATGTGGGATCCAAACAAAAGTGGAGCCTGACAAAAGTGGAACCTTTAAGGATGACACTGGACTTAATGATGTTCCGTTCTACTGCTGTGATTAAAATGATTAAAATGTAAGTGTTGTAGCCTCCTGACAACAGGGCAAAGAGCTGTCTATATTCCTAATTGTTTGGTAACATGAATCTTAATCATCATTAAACCATACAAAAGAAAAGTGTTTTATTTTCTCAATTTAATCTGATGATGCCACAGTGCTGGTATTCCATTCCCTCTCTCCCCCATAGAACAAATGGAACACATTTTTTTAGAAATGTCAAACCTCATTTCTTGTTTTGAACATGAGTGTTTCACAGAGCAATTCTCAGAGCAGTGGGCTCATATTGGATATTGTGCTGCTTCTGGAACACATAACGCTCATGGTGACCTCAGCAGAAGGTGGAAAAAATGCCTTCCTTGTCAATTTCCCATAGTAGAACATTCCTCTTAAAATTACCAAAGAGAAATATCCTCTGTCTACTCAGGAAAAACAATTCTTGGTTTTCTTTGAAATATTATACTGAGATTATACTTTCAGATATAGGCTGACCTCATGTATAATTCATAGGCAGGGTTTGGGTCCAAAATTAAAGATTTAATATGACTCAGGGATAAGGAGACATATGGGATCTGGGCAGCTGAAATAAAACACAGAGAAGATTCACCGGGAAGCAAAATATGGCCATTGAAAGGCATTTTGCCTCATTCTTCTTCTGTATTTGAAAATAATCCAAATGGTAACTTCAAAATAGCAAATACAATACAAAATCTTTCATATTTGAGGACTTCTTACAAAAATGCATTTTAACTTCTTGGGAAAAATTAGCAATGTTTTTTACACAAAATAAAAGCAACTCAAAAATCTATGCATAGGTAGCCTATGTGCTTTCTCACAAACATCCTGCTATATCTGTGCAATACCTCAGGACATCAAATATGCCTAGAACTGTGCAAAGTTCTGTTTCATACTTCTTCTGTTGGAAATCTGTCTTTCAGCCTTGAATGAATATTTTGAGATAATCTTACCTTCATTGTACTAAACTAATGGAAAGTACATAAGTGTTGTCTTGGGGTGCATCTCCACTGTAGGTTGGGACTAAGAAAACATAACAGAATGGCCACCAATAATTTATATATATTTAAGAATTGTGGCTCTCAAAATTTCTATCCATTGGATCAGTCAATCAGAATGATGACTTTAGTCCAGAAATCAGAAGCAAGTCAGAAGGCTAGAGAAGAAGGAATTAGACAGGATCCTGAACTGTGAAGCTTTCATTGTATATCAAAGACAGATTTGTCCATGCCATCATATTATCTACATATAACTATGAAAGCTGTACAGTTAAGAAATCTGTTGGGAAGAGGCTCAATTCACTAGAAAGGTAGAGGAGAGTTCTGTAGATATCACAGTCTGCCAAAAAACAGATATTGGAGCAAATCTGGACTGACTGACCTAGACTGACTAAGCTGAGACTGTGATACTTTGGCCCCATCATGAGAAGACATGATATTATTAAAGAATAATAATGCTTATTATTTATTTATGTATGTATGACATTTATAGGCCACCCTTCTCACCCTTCTATTAGAGTAGAAAGTAATAGTAAAAGAAAAATACTGCATTACAAGTGAATAGACTCAATAAAGGCAGACACCATATGGAATATGCAAGATTGAAGAAGGATTGTTGATAAGTTACAGAGTGATTTGGAGGTCTGTTGTTCATAACGTTGCCATACATCAAAGTCAAAGTGATGCCACAACAACAACAAGAGTCAGTCGTAGAGTTTGGTGTGGTGACTGGAAATCCTGTACACAAGAACATGGCTCGTTTCTTAACACAAATATACACACAGGCATCCCTCTAAATCTGGCAGGATTTGGTGAATGAATATGGGTTAAACCTTTTTGGGGTCACATATTAAAGAAAGTACAATGAAAGTATTTGAGAGAGCTCATAAGAAAAGAATTACTGCTCTTCTCTTTCTCAGTCACCTCACACTTCCTGTCATTGATTGTTCTGACAGCGAGGGTGAGGAAATGCTATTTGAAAGGCCATCTTTTGAGCTAGAGTTCAGCATTGCCAAACAGCTTTCTCAGCCAAGCTTGAAAGAAGAGCCCATGGAGGAAGCTAGCACTTCTCAGACTGCAGAGGTAGTACAAGTACATTCACCTGAGTAGATGGAGGCAGGGTTAAGTGTTCTGGCTCTTTTAGACCTTTAAAGGCAGAAAGTTATTTCACAGGTCCTCCAGGTTATCAGAGAAATGAGACAAAACCTGAGAAGCTTGCATAAAAGATGCTTAAGAGCGGCCCCTTGTTGCTGGCAGAAACTGCAGTTTTTGGAGTGGTGAACTCGGACTATTGAAGACATTTGATTTCATGTACTTTAGAATATCTCTTGGACTTTGGCATTAGGATGTTTGGATTAACCCTTGACTCTAAATTCTGTTGGAATAAATTTTGGATTTTAGAACAGACTATCTCCTTCAATGGTGTTATTACCTGCAATTGTTGCCTCTTTGCTGTATTGTGTAGATTGGACTTGGACCACTTGCTAACCCCCTGTTTGGAAATGGCTCTTTTCAGGATACTTCCTACAGCTGTGAATAGGTTTCTGCTTTAGTAGACAATAGAGAAAAAGATAAGCAGTGGACAAATAATTCTTCACAGCCTTTATTCTGTTACATCAGTTATCAAGCAATAGGGCATGTTAAGTTATAACTCAGAATAAGTGACTCCTCATTTTTTTTTGTCCTGCCCCTCTTTACTCCCCTCCCCGGATGCCCTTATATTTGCTGCTCACTGCAGGCTTTCTCTCATTCCACCTGTAGGACACCGAATTGCTATTGCACTGTAAGTTTAACTGCATTGTACTTCACAACGAGATTTTCTGAGGGAACTGAGAAGAGCAAGATAGAAATATACAAGTCTTATTAGTTGCTACAAATTGAACTAAGAAAAAAATATGGTCAGACCATGTAGTTCTGTGGTAGTTTTTGGGATGAACTGAAGGACAGCATTTTTTCTTTCACAAAGGCAACCCATACAGGATTTTAAATCCTGTTCGTCCCAACTAGAGTAGACCTCTGATGAATATACCTTATGACAAGTGATTTAATGGGTCTGTTTTAATAGGGATTAACCAAATTGAATCAGGATAGGGTATTTAAAGTGTATTCTTTCCTCAGACTTATTTAGAGATTGCTCCACCTTGTGATGGAACAAGGGGGTAATATGCTAAACTATAAAGGCTTTAATATTAGAGGGTGTTGTGTTCATGATGATGATGATGATGATGATGATGATGATGATGATGATGATAATAATAATAATAATTGTATTTCTTATCTGCCTCTCACAGCTCGAGGTGGGTTACAACATTGCTAAATACATAATAAAAACACACAATCATTTAAACACACTGCATGGGATAAGCTTATTAAAGCAGATTTCCATAAAATACATATTAAAATCCACAAAACAATAATTAAATATGGAGGGGAAGTTTAACATTTGTGATTAAAACCATCTGGGCAGGCTTGCTAGAAGAGATTGGTCTTCACTTGTGTCTTAAATTCTTATAGCTGATTTAGCTGTCAGGGCTCTACCAGCAGGTCGTTCCACAGTCTTGAGGTGGCCAAAGAAAAGATCCTCTCAATAATGTTTGTCAGTTGGGTTCTGGCAGGTTGGAGCAGTCATCCCTCAGAGGAATCAGTGTTTGGGGCAAATTGTATGAAAGAAGACGATCCTGTACGTAACCTGGATCCAAACCATGTAGGGTTTTAAAAGTCAGTTTGACTGACAAAGGCTGGGTTCCTACTACTGTCAGATGAAAGCATAAATCTACCTGCTTATGTCTTTTTGAGTCTGTGGTATATTACATTCTACCTTCTACAAAAAACCCCCACCCCTAACTGACCACTTAGAAAAAGCAGGCACCTAGCACCTTCCCATAGCTATTGAAGGTGTTTTGAAAATGTCTGACTCTATCCCTCTAGTTATATAATAAATGAAGATTACTGAGATCTCTAGAGCAGTGGTTCTCAACTTGTGAGTGCCCAGATGTTTTGGCCTTCACCTCCCAGCTGGCTAGGATTACAGAGGGTTGAAGGCCAAAACACCTGGAGACCCACAGATTGAGAACCTCATCTCTAGAGGATAGCTTGCAATCCTCCTCAATGAGCCCTTTGCTTGCCACCAACCATGGAAGAGCGATTGGTGAATTGAATTAGCCAAATAATGAGTCTGGCTGAAAGGGGTGAGATGGAACTTAGTTCTGCAAGTGAAACTTTTATATTGCAGGGTTCCATACATGCCGTCAGCCAAGAAATCTCATTGGAGTTATCTTGATAACAATTTCCTATATCTCCAACAATTTCTCAATTTGCAGGATTATTTTTTTATTTACTGTATTTGTATACCGCCTTTCTCAGCCAATCGGCGACTCAAGGCGGATTCGTTCCTATAATTAAAGGGAAAAGGAATATATCCACTATTATTTGCCATCCTGCATTTGGGCACTTGAAGTATTTTTTTTGTGACTAAATGTAATTGCGTTTAGATTTCAGAAGTGATGAAGGAGAAATTTCCAGTAAATCGTATTAAAAATCTTGAGATATTTATTTTCCAGAAACATTTTGCAGGCGAATCTTAAATTGATTGCTTTCTAATGGACTTCTCAGTGAACATTGTGATCTGCTTGGTCTTCTGCTGTTTCTGGGATACAGAAAGCCGGGAATCAAATGAAGTCCTATCAGTGATAAATGGAGGAGCGGAGGGCATTTGGGGGGAAACACAATTCTGTACTTCAGGACATGCCAATGGATTTGCAATTAAGGTAACTGTCTTTCTATAGTATCCTCTTTTTCAAACACCTTCCCCAAAATTAATCATAGAACCTCAAAAGTGCACATTGAGGAAATTCTTGATGGTTGGTTTGTTGGTTTATAACTGTATCGTGATAGATTAGAAAAGATTGATTTTGAGAGCCTTGTGTGTGTCAGCAAAAGAAAGTCGTCTAAATCAGTTGTTAGTTGTGAGTAAGTTAGACCTTCCAACAACCTAAAAGACAGCTTTATATATGGACTTCACCAGATGGTCAACAGTGAAATCAGATTGACTACATCCTTTGAAGCCAGTGGTGGCGGACATCCATCCAGGTCTTATTTTCACCAAATGGGTGGATGTCTGCCACCTTTGGCTACAAAGGATGTAGTCAATCTGATTTCAGTGTTGACCATCTGATAAAGTCCATGTATAAAACCATCTTTTAGGTTGCTGGAAGAGAGTGTTTGTTATACACAGTGAGTTTTCCTGGTAAAATTCTATCAGCATACATCCCACTTCATTTTGTTGTCCCAGACCATTCTTGCCTGTGATTCCAGTTGTCATTTGACTACCCATGTTAGTATTCCAGTCTCTTGTAATGAAAATAGTGTTTCTTTTTGATGTATTATCCCATAGGTGTTGCAGATCCTCATAGAACTGATCTACTTATGCTTCTTCAGCAGATTAGGTTGGGGCATATATTTGGATCACTGTGATATTAAATGGCTTACTTTGAACTCGAATTGAGATCATTGACTTTATTACTAATTATGAAGGCTACTCCATTTCTTCGGTGTTCCTCTTGTCCACAATAATAGATCTGGTGGTCATCTGATGTGAAGTGGCCCATTACAGTCCATGTCAGTTTGCTGACCCTCATAATGTCTATCTTAATCTTGACATCTCACCTATAATAACATCCAGTTTGCCCTGGCTCTTAGATCTTACATTACAGGTTCCTATAGTGTGTTGATCTTTAGAACATCGGATTTGTCATTCGCTTTCCAGAATCGTAGGCTGCTAGCCTTCCTTTGGGCTTTATTATTAATTATGAAGGCTACTCCATTTCTTCGGTGTTCCTTTTGTCCGCAGTAGTAGCTGCTTCATGACATCTGGAGCTAGTTGAACTTATTCTCTGCTCTTCCCCAGTAGCATTTTGACCATCTTTTGACCTGGGAGCCCCATATTCTGATGGCATACCAACATATCTCTGGTTGTACTGATCCATTTAGTTCTGTATAAGTTCTGTATCACTGAATATTACAAAATGATTACTTCTATTCATGCTGAATTGAAAGCTTTTTCCATATTCATATTGACTCCCTATATGCCTCTTACTAGCTTCAATTCTTGTGGAATATCCCAACTACATTTGGAGTTTTTCCATGATTAAAACCTTTGACAAGCTTACAAAAAGGGAATTTATTTTTTTTAAAAAAAGAAATGTAATCATGGATGGCACAGAAGTTATCATAAGTCATTTAAAAAGTGCATTCTTTGAATAATGAAAATCCCAGATTCAATCTACACCCTTCTTACTAACGTAATTGCTTCATTCGTATGGTTCACTTCCATTGGCTGCTTGTGGAAGTTGTTTGTAAGTTGGACGGGACTGCCTGTACTAGATTTGCCATTTTGGAAAGCATCAGGAAGTACAAGAAGTACAAAACCCAATTATACCATCTTCTTAGAGTATGAGAACTTCAGAGTAACCTAGGTTTTAGGCCATGTTTGCAGCAGAATAGTGCTTGATTAGGATTACAAGCCAGTGCACCTCAAAAATTCTGACAGAAAACATAYATAAAGGCCAGTTAGAGCAAGTATTTCAACACAGTCTCTTTTTTCATTTTTATTAGGTACAGAAACCGCAAGGTATACTAAAGGATGATACATCTCTGAATGGCATCCGTCTTTACTGTACATCYGGAGAAACAATTGAGTCTTCAGTTGGATCGTGAGGATTTATTTTCTTCTTTTTCCACTTTGATTTAMTTCCTTAGAATAAAAGTAGATTCACTGAAATTCTCTAGATTAGTATTTTAAATTGGTTTTTAATGGTTTAAACAGTTTACTCTTAAATTGCTTGGGATTAAATTCTATTTTAATGTTTATAGTCTTTAGATAGTAATATTATATTGTTTTAGCACTGTYTGCTGCTTTGAATCTTTGATAGGAGAATAAACTGCATAGTAGAATTAATACTGTTTGACCACACCTTTAGTAACATCACTGATTGCTAAGGAATCATGGGAGCTATAGTTTTCTAAGCTCTTTAACTTACTTTGTCCAAAAGTTTTGATATCCCACCAAACCACAAGTACCAGAATTCTTTATCAATGAGTCATGACATTGAAAGTAGTGTCAAACTGCATAAATTCTACAGTGTAGATGCACCAACATTTATTTTTACAACTTGAGTTTTCACAGGCTGACAGTACTCACACCAGCAGCTTCTCAAGTATCATGCAACAAAAGGAAAAGAGATGTCCAGGATAAACAATAAAATCCAAACAATTCAGGACATTACTGTTTTACCTGTGTGTTCATTAAGATAACACCCAATAATCAAGTGGCTGTATGTTTCCTGCTGAGCAACAGAAGGAGATGGTGATGGTGTCATTGAATTTTCCCAGATTGCAATTGAATATACTTTTTAACATTCTGGAAAATTAACATTTTCTTTTATTGTCCATTGTCAGACACTTTCAGGCACTCCCTTGACATTCCCCAACAAAGACAGTTCTCCACTGCTTTCCTTGGTGGAAGGTGGTACAGAAGGAGATAGAAAATACCTCTTTCTATCCCATTTACAAGGTCATATAGACTGGTGTAACATTAGCATATATCGTTAACTGATTCTGATCAGCTCGGCATAAACATTATATCTTCATTCTTGCTTCTAAGTTCCAGGTTTGTTTCTTTGTTACTGATGGCGGGTGGCTGGACTACGTGGTCCTTGTGGTCTCGTCCAACTCTATGATTCTATTATTCTGCTTAGACAATTAAGATATACAATGGCATGGTGTACTGTAGATATTTCCACAGTTTTTACTATTTTGAGGATGAAATCTAAATCCTATTCTTAGTCTCAGCTACAGCAAAGCCATTGAATCAGATGGATTTCTCTATGCATTGTCTCACTGTTCATTGATTGACAAGTAATCAACAGTATTCTAATCATACAGCTATAGGCTCTTGAACTGTTGTTGGTATATATAGTGTTTGCATGTAGTTGGAAGCAAATAACCAATGTTTAAAAGAGGGGTTAGGAACCTTTGACCTGATGGATATTTTGGATTTCATCTCTCCAAAACTCTAGTCAGAAAGAATTGCACAAGCTGTTGATCCAAAATAACCTGCAGGCCAATTTTCCTCCAACCATAGTTTATGGCTTTATTCCATAGGTCAGCAACTATTTTTTCTGGAGTCCATCTAAATGTATTTCTCTGACCATTCCGATCATTATTTTCTCTGACAGGAAAGGCGAGTGGTCAAAGAGTAAAAATTGTTCCAAAGGCTACCTAGACTCCTTCTCTCTAAATGTGGAAGAACCACAGGGAGTGCTTGATGATACTGCAGCCAACAACATTCAGTTCAATTGTCGAAATGGGGAGATGTTCGACTTGCTGAAGGGCGAGTCAGAAGAGTGGGGTCATTATGGGCCCTGGAGCTTGTCTTGCAAACCTGGTGCAATTTGTGGGATCCAAACAAAAGTGGATCCTGGCAAAAGTAGAGTCTTTAGTGATGACACTGGACTTAATGATGTTAAGTTCTACTGCTGTGATTTAAATGATTCCAATGTGTCTTAGCCTCCTAACAACAGGGCGAAGAGCTATCTATATTCCTAATTGTATGAATCTTAATCACCATTAAACCTTAAAAAAAGAGAAGTGTTTTATTTTCTCTATTCAAAGTGATTAAACCACACTGATGGAAGCCCCTTCCTTCTCTCTCTCAGAAACAAAAAACAAAAACAAAAGCAAATGGAATACATTTTTGGGAACTTTCAAAGCTGATTTCTTGTTTTAAAAATGAGTGTTTCACAAAGCAATTCTCAGAGCAGTGGGTCCGTATTGGATATTGCGCCGCTTCTGGAACACATAATGCTCACAGTGACCTCAGCAGAAGGTGGAAAAATGCCTTCCTTGTCAATTTTCCTTAGTAAATCATTCCTCTTTAAATTCCCAAAGAGAATTTTCCCCTGCCTATTCAGGAAAAACAATTCCTGGTTGTCTTTGAAATTGTAAGATATTACACTCTTGGTTATATGCTGACCTCATGTATAAATCATAGGCAGGGTATGGGTGCAAAATTAGAGATTTAATGTGACCCAGGGATAAGTCAAGGACCATTTTGCAGAAAGGAGACATATGGGATTGGGGCAACTGAAATAAAACACCGAGATGATTCTGTACATCCTCACAGCCAAAGCTAATCTTATTCATAAGATTATTAAGAACAGCTGTGGCCATAACTTAATAACCACAGATGTACTAAGAATATGCTACTTTCTAAAGCATAATAAGAACCTTAGCTCTTACAAAGAGCAGTACAAAATAAAAATTATACGAACACAATACAGATATGCCTACTTTGTACTATGCTTCTTGCAACACATTAATATTGAAATTGAAATGGGCATTGAAAGGCATTTTGCCTCGTTCTTCTTCTGTCTTTGAAAGGTTGTAGCCAACAATCTCAAATATAAATTAATTTCCATATGCCTGTGTTTTCTACTATGACTTAGGCAGCTGAGTCATAGTAGATTTGTAAAGTGCGAGATTTGTAAAGTTTGGATATTTAGGAAATTGCTTTCTTGATCATTGCGTCACTGCCCTCATCAAGAAATCCAAATGGTAACTTCAAAATAGCAAATACAATACATAATCTTTCATATTTCAGGGCTTCTTACAAAAATGCAATTTAATTTTTTGGGGAAAATTATCAATGTTTTTTACACAAAATAAAAGCAACTCAAAAATCTCTGCATAGGTAGCCTATGTGCTTTCTCACAAACATCCCGCTATATCTGTGCAATACCTCAAGACATCAAATATACCTAGAACTGTGCAAAATTCTGTTTCATTATTCTTCTGTTGGAAATCTGTCTTTCAGCTTCTAATGAATATTTTGACATAATCTTTCCTTCATTGTACTGAACTAATGGAAAGTACATAAGTGTTGTCTTGGGGTGCATCTACACTATAGGTTGGGACTAAGAAAACAAAACAGAATTGTCACCAATTATTTGCATAGATTTAAGAATTGTGGCTCTCAAAATTTCTATCCATTGGATCAGTCAATTAGAAGGATGAGTTTAGTCCAGAAATCAGAAGCAGGCTAGAACTTGGAAGGGCAGAGAAGAAGGAATTAGACAGGATCCTGAACTGTGAAGATATCATTCTATATCAAAGACAGATTAGTCCATGCCATCATATATCTACATATGAATATGAAAGCTGTACAGTTAAAAAAAGCTGTTGGGAAGAGACTCAATTCATTTGGAAGGTGATACTAGAGGAGAGTTCTGTGGATACTACACTCTGCCAAAAACAGATATTGGAGCAAATCTGGACTGACCTCTCCCAAGAAGGTAAGCTGACTGTGATACTTTGGCCCCATCGTGAGAAGACACGATTCATTATAAAGAATAATAATGCTTATTAGAGCAGAAAGTAATAACAAAAGAAGAAGATTCCATTACATATGTATATGGAATATGCAAGATTGAAGCAGGATTGTTGAGAAGTTACACAGTGATTTGGAGATCTGTTATTCATAAGATTGCCATACATCAAAGTCAAAGTAATGCCGCAACAAGAGTTTGGTTCGGTGACCAGAAATCCTGTCCACAAGAAGATGACTAGTTTCTTCACACAAATATACATGCAAGCACCTCTCTATACATGGCAGGATTTGGTGAATGAATATGGGTTAAACTTTTTGGAGGCATATATTAATGAAAGCATGATTAAAGTATTTGAGAGAGCTCATAAAAAAGAATTTCTTCTCTTCCAGAGTCACCTCACACTTCCTGTCATTAATTGTTCTGACAACGAGGGTGAGGAGGTGCTGTTTGAAAGGCCATCTTTTGAGCTAGAGTTCAGCATTGCTAAACACAGCTTTCTCAGCCGAGCTTGAAAGAAGAGCCCATGGAGGAAGCTAGCACTTCTCAGACTGCAGAGCAAGTACCAGCACATTCATCTGAGTAGATGGAGGTAGGGTTAAGTGTTCCTGTTCTTTTAGACTTGCAAAGGCAGAAAGTTATTTTGCAGGTCCTCTAGGTTATCAGATAAATGGGCTATCAATAAAAAACACATGAGAAGCTTGCATAAAAGAGGCTTAAGATCCTTCTTGCTGGCAGCAACTTCAGTATTTGGAGTGGTGGCCTCTGACTGTTTGAGATCTGTTGTTTCATGTACTTTAAAATATATCTTGGACTTCAGCATTTGGATGTTTGGATTAACCCTTGACTCTAGGTTCTGTTGGAATCAATTTTGGATCTTAGAACAGACTATCTCATTCGCTGGTATTATTCCCTGCCATTGTTGCCTATTTCCTGTATTCTGTAGTTTGGATTTGGACCATTTGCTAACCTTCTGTTTGGAAATGGGTCTTAGCTTTAGGACACTTCCTACTACAGTGAATAGGTTTCTGTTTTTTCAGACAATAGAGAAAAAGGATAAGCAATGGACAAATAATTCTTCACAGCCTTTATTCTGTTACACTCAGTTATCAAGCAATAGGGCATGTTAAGTTATAACTCAGAATAAGTGACTCCACATTTTTTTTTGTCCTGCCCCTCTTTACTCCCCTCCCCGGATGCCCTTATATTTGCTGCTCACTGCAGGCTTTCTCTCATTCCACCTGTAGGACACCGAATTGCTATTGCACTGTAAGTTTAACTGCATTGTACTTCACAATGAGACTTTCTGAGGGAACTGGGAAGAGCAAGAAAGAAATATACAAGTCTTATTAGTGCTAAAAAATAGAACTAAGGAAAAATTTGGTCAGGCCATGTAGTTTTGTGGTAATTGTTGGGATGAACTGAAGGACAGCATTTTTTTTCCACAAAGGCAATCCATACAGGATTTTAATTCCTGTTTGTCCCAACTCGAGAGAACCATCTGATTACTATACCTTATATAATATATAATATAACAAGTGACTCAATGGGTCTGTTGTAATAGAGATTAACCAAATTGAATCAGCTCAGGGTATTTAAATGTGTATTCCTTCATCAGAATTATTTAGAGATTGCTCCAACTTGTGATGCAGTAAGGGGTGGGGGGTGGGGGTGGGGTGGGGCAGTATGCTAAATCATAAAAGCTGTAATGTTAGAGGGTGTTGTGTTCCATAATAATAATAATAATAATAATAATAATTTTATTTCTTATCCACCTTTCCTCACAGCTCGAGGTGGGTTCCTACATTGCTAAAACACATAATCATTTAAAAACACTGCATAGAATACATGTATTAATATGTATTTCCATAAAATACATATTAAAATACACAAAACAAAAATTAAACATAGAGTGGAAGTTTAAAATTTGTCATTAAAATTGTCTGGGTAGGCCTGCTAGAAGAGATTGGTCTTCACTTGTGTCTTAAATTCTGACAGCTGATTTAGCTGCCGGAGGTCTCCTGGCAGGTTGTTCAACAGTCTTGGGATGGCTGATGAAAAGTTCCTCTGGATAGTGGTTGCCAGTTGGGTTCTGGCAGGCTGGAACCTGAGTCGCCTGCGGGCTGATATGGGCGGGATATAAATGATGTAAATAAATAAATAAATACCTCAAAGGACATCAATGTTTGGGGCTGATTCTGCAGAAGAATATGATCCTGTAGGTAACTTGGATCCAAATCATGTAGGGCTTTAAAGGTCAATTTAACTGACAAAGGCTGGGTTCCTACTACTTGAAGATGAAAGTATATCTCTACCTGCTTATGTCCTTTTGTGTCTGAGGGGTATTACATTCTAAATTCTGCAAAAAAAACTATCCCTAACTGACCACTTAGAAAAAGTAGGCACCTAGCACCTTCCCATAGCTATTGAAGGGCAAAGAGTGTGTGTTTTGAAAATGTCTGACTCTATCCCTATAGCTATATAATAAATGAAGATTACTGAGATCTCTAGAGCAGTGGTTCTCAGCCTGTGGGTGCCCATATGTTTTGGACTTCACCTCCCAGCTGGTAAACTGGCTAGGATTACAGAGAATTGAAGGTCAAAATACCTGGGGACCCACAGATTGAGAACCATGTTTTTTGCCCACAACTCCCAGAAATCCCAGCCAGTTTACCAGCTGTTAGGATTTCTGGGGCAAAAACATCTGGGGACCCCAGGTTGAGAACCACTGCTATAGGACCTCACAACCTCTGAGGATTCTTGCCATAGATGCAGGCAAAACGTCAGGAGAGAATGCTTCTAGAACATGGCCATATAGCCTGAAAAACTCACAACAACCCAGTGATTCCAGCCATGAAAGCCTTCAACAATACATTGAGACTTTTATATTACAATGTTCCATGCATGCTGTCAGCCGGGGAATCTCATTGGAATTATATTGATAACAATTTTCCACATCTCCAATGATTTCTCAATTTGCAGGTTGATTCATTATTAGTTCCTATAATTAAAGGGGAAAGGAATATATCCACTATTATTTCCCATCCTGCATTTGGGCCCTTGAAGTACTTTTTTGTAGCTAGATGTAATTGCCTTTAGATTTCAGAAGTGATTAATGAGGAATTTCCAGTAAATCATATTAAAAATCTTGAGATATTTATTTTTCAGAAATATTTTGCAGGT